GGTGTGGATGTGGGGGTGGGTGTGGGTGGGGTGTGGGTGTGGGTGTGGGTGTAGGTGTGGGTGTGGGTGTGGGTGTAGGTGCGGGTGTGGGTTGGGTGTGAGATGGTAAAACCTTCACATCAACACGGACACTCACAGGCACATCCACCCAAACCCATATCCCACCCACACCCACACCCACACCCCTGTTGTTTTTGTAATTGAGGGTGAGGGTGAAATTGGAAATAATGAAGATAATGATTTAGTTGATTTTGATGATGAAGATGATGATAAGTAATTTATTGATTTTGAAGAAGAAAAAGATGATGATGTTTCGTCAGTTGATATTGAATCACACGATTCCATTTAAAAATAATTGTTTTGCTTATTTTGTAAATTTTTTGTAGATATAACTAATCGTACCACACCAATTTTTTTCCTTCCTTCATTCAGTACATTTCGAGATAAGCCTCTATGCAATTGATATAAATCTCTGATACGACATGTGTGAACTACAGTGGCATCTAGATACTGGAATAGTTTTCTTTTAACAACTTCACAAGAAATTGAAGGACATTTTTTAAATAGAGGGACATTTTTCTAAGGGACATTTTTTCAAGGACAAAAATCTGAAGGACATTTTTGCTGAGGACGAAATTCAAGGACATTTCGTCCGAGGACATTTTCAAAAGGACATTCTGGACGTAATTCGTTTCTCCAATTGTTCAAATCCATAAGGAATTACAACAATATCATCTATTGCTGGAAATTTGATTGTTCAAAGTTCCATAAAAGTCGGGCAATACTCACAATAGCTAGAACTGTTTTGTTTGATGGAGACGCTTATTTCCTTGTTTCTAAGCTAATATGACACTACGAATAACTATTGAAGTACCGAATATCGAACAACAAATCGAATTTTTGTATTTATATAGACACCACCGAAGAGATTAAAGGGTATTTGTGAGTGTGATTTAAAGCATGCCTACACTCACTCCACATCGAGGAAAAATAAGAAGAAAAATAGAAGATCTGCAGTTCTAATTGCTGTACGTATTGTTCGAGTTCCATTAAAATTTGGACAATAAAATTTCTAGTTCTATATGATATTGTCGTAAGTTTCTTACGAGCTTGAACAATTGTGGAAATTTCAATCAATCAAATTTCGATTGTGCATGTTTTCGATTGAACCAATGATCAGAACGATGACAATTCAACGGTATTTTTTTGTCATGATACTCATTATTCTACTTAAATTGACTAGTGATTCTATTTGTGCTTCTCTATACTTTTTGACATAGTATATTCAAATATTTGAAAGTTCAAGGGTCATTTCCAAAAAAAGTATAAAAAAATGAGAACGAGCTTTCATTTTAGTTGAGAGTAGCTAACTTCTCTTCAATAAACATTGGCTTGTGATAGCAATAAGTTTTTAAAAAAAATTGTAACTCAATTGATTTGTAATTGTCCATTACTACCCACGCCTCAGGATAATATAGCTGAGAAGCGGTCAATGGCTCAAAATTCTTAACTGCTACGTCACTGTACTGAGCAATAATGTTTTCTGACTTACTTATTAATCAATTCAATGATTATAATAATAAGAATGTTAAATTAAAAAAAACGAATGAAAAACAATGACCGAATAACAACCACGCAAACAAAAAATTTCTGTTCGAAATGCAGAAATTAGAGAAGTCCTTAGTCTAGTGATCGATTATCCTGCAACACAACTATAGTCTACAAGAGATTTTCCCCTTTACCTATTTTATATTAATTAAATAAGACTAGAAAACATATGTGACTATAGCTCCAAATGGACTGCACTAACAAGCATTTCTTTTATCGATTATTCTCTGCAAGTATCGTACGAGTGGTATATGAATCGAACAATATCCTAATAAGATTTAATCTGCTACATATTTATGCTATTCGGAACTCCAACTTATATGATAGTCCACAAATCATGCAAATAACTCATTTTATTTTATTGTATTAAAATAAACCTTTTTCATTCATTTTATCTTTTTATTTACCTTTATGTATTTTTCGCATAATTTACAATTATAATGTCATTGTTTAATGTTGTCAATTTTTTATTAATATTTCCTGTAACAAACGATTCAATCAATGATAAATCTTTCATAAACAAGTTTAAATTGACTTAATAATACTAATAATGTATGTTATACGAATCAAAATTTCACATTCATATAATATATAATTAGAACTTTTAATAAAAAGAATTTTTTTTTTAAACAGCGTTTCAGTTTTTTACTAGTTGCAAAATATGTAGTACATTATAGGCACTCCAAACAACTAAGAGAATGCAATGCCTATTACACTACTGTTACGTTTGAGTCGCCAAGTTAATAAATTATTCATCCAATTGATTAACAATTGAACTGTCAGCTTTTGTTAAAAAGACTATCTTTCAAAAGAGGGTGAGCGAATGTTCTGATGAGTGTTATTTATTATTAACTTCATACAATTATGGCTTCGTATCCTGCTGGCAGAATGACAATAGAGATAACATAAAGCGACAGGGAACATTTATGCGCATTGTTTCGTTAGTTTATTCTGCTTGATATGGCAGAACCGTCGTCATATGTACACGAATTGGCCAGGTGAAGATTTTTTTCAAATGTGACGAAACAAATATTTGAGTAATAGCCACACAAATTAAAGAGAAAAGAGTAAGTGACCACTCAAAAGGACTTGTCCATAGAGGTAAATAGTCATTGGCAACATAAGCAATTGGTATAAGTACATGTGGTAGAGCAACAGTTGTGACGAATGTGAGTAGTATAACTAAGCGGGTGAATACAGTCAAATCTCGATGAATATTTGAACTTCGGCCAATCGGTCCCAATGCTATATTTCGTGACCGAACATAATACATTGTACAAACATAGCAGATCAATGTTAAACTAAGTGGAATTAGAAATAAAATGGACAATCCTGTCAAAGTTGCATGGAGATTTTTCGGTGACAATTGACAATGATAATCAGTTGGTAAATAATCAATATCACCAATGCATAAACTTGGTAAAAGTTGTAAAAAGCCAAGAATCCATTGAGCAATAGACAGATTTTTATAGAGACGAAAGGATCGTAAATTTACTCGAGTATGATATACAATACGACACATATGATAGACAGATTGGAGTAAAAATGAATAGAAATAGACAGATCCTGTGACGTATAAAGCATAGCTTTTAATACGACACCACCAACTATCGAAGGATATATTCGGATTAAAGTGGCCAGAAAGTGAACAAATACCCATGTCGAAAAAGAGTGGCGTAGAAAAGAAAAGGGCGATGTAAGAATTGACATTCAGCAAATAATCCACACGTTTAGTTCGAATCATTGAGCGTCGATAAATTATCATTGAGAACACTGTAATTGACAGGCACAAACCAATCGTAGCACATGCCAAAATAGTCCCATAGAGAGAAATACTCACAAGTTCCATTGAATTAACTTCGCAAATCACTTTGTTTTCAAATTCGAGTATGATTGATGAGCTTCTCGAAGAAAGAATGAAATTCCTAAAATACAGTTAACTCTCCAGTCTTGCTTGATCAAGTAAACCACTTGAGTCTTCCTCCTCCCCCCCCCCCCCACCCCCCCGCCCGCCCCCCCCCGCCCCCCCCCCCCCCCCACAACCCACACCCCCACCGCCCACACCTCTCTGACAGTCGATCCACCACCTGAGCCCTCCTCCCCTCCCCCCCCCCCCCGCCCACCCTACAAAAATCTAATTTCGTCAGGAAACATGAAATACTGATGAAATCTTGTATAGATATTTGATTCTTGGAAGCATATTAATAAAAAAAAGTTTCTCATCTCTATACCTTGCCATTCAGAAGATTTCTAGATACCAAGCTGCAAAGCAGTGCTTTTACGCGGACTAGCTTTTTATCAATATACTTCAAGCTGAAGGGTTCGTGTTGCTTTCATATAAAATAGAACTTCTCACCACTTTTGATAAGCGAAACGGTTTTAGTAATTTGCACCTACCACCCATCACAGACCGTGATAGACGGTCTTCACGGACCACTACAGAACACATATCACCAATATCTCATTAGAATATATAAACTATTTTCTTATTGCAATGCTAGAGAATACAGTAAGCAAAGAAGAAGAAATGAGTCATGAAATAGATTAAATGAAATCATTTTCATGTCATTAGGAACAATGGCTATATCGTGTTTCACATATTAATCCCGTAGGGATTGCGCTGACAGCTTGTTACTTTACTTCATTTTGTGGATTATCGAAACTTTAAAATATTGGAAACCCAATATATGATTTCGAGGAAAACGTTGAGGTTCTCTAGCATTGACGATTCATTAGAAAATTGAAAAAAGGCTTGTCCGCAGGTTGCTGATTCCCGAAAAAATCAATTTTGAGAAAACCACAAAAGAAGCTTTGCTTTCATATAGTCTTCCTATTCTTAATTAAAACGGAGGTGAAGCTTAATTTAGCATTTTTTCCATAGAATAAGTATCAATCTAGATTGAGTTATGCTCTTTTTTCTCTCTTCATATCATCAATCGCCTCGTTTACACATCGAACACGCGTTTATATATGCAACCAGGAGATAAAAGAAAATAAGAGAGAAGGAAAGGGAAAGAGAAAGCAGAAAGAGTAATTATGGAAAAGGACAGATGTATTGGTGTCATCACAGAACAGGATGAAATAGTTAACAATACATAGTTATGAAAAAAGGAAGGACAAAGCATATGGTAACAAGAACTGAGAGTAGATACTGACAAAGAATAAAATCAGTCGGAAACGTCATACTTGAATATATTACATGTCAATCGAATCACTTATCGATCAATATTAGATTGTTCTCATACAAGATACATCACGATAGTTGACACTATCTACTAGGACCCTATATTTGTTATATCAATAAATATTGTAATCAAGACAGAATAACAAAATACTTTTTAAAAATGTCTTTCTTGACTTACTGTCTTCTTACAAGCCGGTAATTATGGCTAGTTTTAAATATTAACTAGTAAGAGACATGGTATTCTTTTTCATATAAATCATTTACTTTGATCAAGCATCAGAATCTTAATATATTCTAAAAAGTTTTGATGTATATATTTACGGGTGTGTTGTTGTAGGTGAAGAGAAAAGTTGTACTCACATTCACACCCACATCAGGTCTGCCTGTAGATCCAGTCGAGTCTGACTAATTTAGACCAGTATCTGTGCTGATAAGCAAAAAAAACCCTTCTCGTTGCAAGCCTCTTTCGAGTTGTAGGGAGATTCTCCATTGTTTTCTGACCAGGAATACTGCTCATATTAACTGAAGTAAATTATTTTTCAACGGCTTTGTCCACTGTCAACTAATGGATTCTGAAGAGACGATTACAGTCTCTATAGTAGTGATGAGCAATCTAACGAGGGGAGAAATGAATACTTGACGAGAGAACACTTCTGAAATAGATATCATGGGAAGGATGAAACTATTTCATTACAGATCCCCGCTGGAAGGAAGAGCAAGCTCTTCTAGTACTAATGCAGTTGTCATCCTTTGGGAGCCCTTGTCAGACTGCGCTATGAGAATAATTTCAATGAGAAGATTGATCAAATACGTCAAGTCTGAATTTTTCATGATAATAAAAGAAAAGACGACAGCGGCTTTGCGTAACATAACTAAATTTATTAATAATTCGATGTTTTGCTGAACTCTGTCATCATTATCAAGATCAATATGTACAAATGAGAAACAATAAATTAAAGAAAAAGAATTAATTACATACGAATATTATAATAAAGAGAAAAGAATGAAGAAACGAAAGAATACAAGAAGATGTTCATATTATTCATCTGGATTAGGTAATATATTTTTTAGTAAGTCATCTGGAAAAACAATCAATTGTATCGAGTATATTGCACAATTGAGTTCTGGCTTGTACCCCTGGATTAATTAAGATTCTTTGATTAGTAGACAATAGGGATGCTTGTCTTTCCATACAACACGAAAGTATTTCCAGTATATCTGATGTGCAGTATCCTTTACTTATTGTACGATGGAAGAGAAGACAACATTCTTTTCAATTTTGTTGTTGTTGCTTTTGACAATACTAATGCTATTATTGAATTTTGTCGATCTTTGATTTTTATTTCTGATTCGTCATGATATTCTTAGTAATACTATTGTCATCATTACTTTCAGTACTGCACTGTTGCTGATGAAATGCAGTTTTTGATGTACCATGCTCATGTATAGTCGTATGCATTGCTTTTCTGTCTTGCCGATGTGGGTGTGGTTATGAATGTCAGTCTTCTCTTCACTCACATCCACACCCACACCCTCAATAGTGCTTATATCTAGACCAGTTCTTGAGACAAGAGAAATAATAAGATTCATGATTTTGAAAGGATCCTGAAGTCAGACAGTTTTCTATTGAGATTAACTTGAAATAGCTTAATTTACATACTAATCATATTTATTGTAAAATAGCTCTTACACAATCAAAAACATGATTTGTTAATAAGTGCCTGTGGGTGTGCGCATGTGTGTGCATGTACGTGTGGCTCCAGATAATACGCACACCAACACCCCAGCTTGATATTGCCGGATTCACCACTGTTGTTTCATGAGTTATGAATATATACTGCTTCAGCTTTGCTAATGTGAAATCGAATGTAATATTTGGAGACGCGCAGATATTTGCTTCGGTCAGAATTAGTGATTGTGCTGAAAGATTAAATTAGTCGAGTTGAAATCATTGTTTGCATCAATAAGAAAAACTTTTGCTAAAAGGTACTCATTATTGTCCGGACATCGTTTGGCTGGATGAGTGAAACATTTGTGGTATAGATTTCACCAATCCACTCTTGTAAAATGAATTTACTTTGACGTACTTCGTGAAAAGTAAGGGTGTGAGTGTGGCTCCAGACAATGCAACCACACCAGATTTGTCGCCGAAAGATTGTATTATTTTTAAATGTCTGTCAATTTCTAAAAGTTATGAACGCGAAAAGTTTATACTATTTAGTTTCAAAAAGAGTTTAACAGTTAAGGGCTTAATGAACTCTTATTTAAAAAAAGGGACTAATATTTTGGCAGCAGCAGACTTTTTCTGGAACGTTTATTTTACACTGGCTGCTCGGAAGAGCATGAAGACATCGATGAAGCTGGACAAGATGTGAAGAGCTCTAAAGAATGTTATTTTTATTCTGGCTTCTTTTGTGTATGCCATTTAACATCCCTATTGAATTGTTGAATTAAGATTGCTAAGAAAAACGGGACTCACATTGAGAGACCGCATATCATATAGATATTTTACTCTCTAAAATAGAAGCAAACGGTGGTAGTTCCATCATAGATGGTTATCGTCGACGACTAACATATACAATGGCAGTAAATGACCGCTGTTTAAGAATGTAGTGCATTGTATGTCAATGTCGTTTACGATCGCTATGTACAATCGTTGTTATCCAGCGTATTCTCTTGGTAACATTCGTAGACGATTGCATTTTTCCGATGTGAGTCTTTGCGCCCTATATTAGAAAAATTGGGGTATAAAATTAGATAAAAATCGATCAAGAGTATATAGTTTTAATTGAGTTTTATTCATTTTGTAAGCCGTTACAATCAAAAATAACCGTGAAGATCAAAATTTCATCGACTATACGGTGTGAGTATGAGTCTTCTTTTCGTCTATAGTCACATTTCACACTTCTTTTTTTGGACGGACATTACCTTATTGACATGATAATATTCTATCAATAATTTATTCAGATCTAAAATTATTTACATGTATTCATAGTACTTCACTCCAAGTAGTAAGTCAATATCTTGATAAAGTAGCAAATGGAAGAAAATTGTTGAATTTACTGTACGAATAGGTTTCAAACAATAGCAAATTACAAGAGGGCGGGAGGCATTGCAAATGATCGTTTCTCTCTTTCGAAATATTATTCGATTTTTCTAGGCAGAAAACGCCCAATAACAAACTGATACGATCTCGAAGTGAACTTGAAAACATATTGTGTAACATTAATCGGTCTATTTTTGCAAAACCATAGGTTTGTCACTAATTTGAAAGAATAAATAAAAACTAAAATTTAAATTCAAATAAAACATAACTATGTTGCACAAAATGATATTTTAAAAAATCCATTAATAAAGTTTCTACTTAAGAAAAAGCGAAGTAAAAAAACATTTTATTTAATAATCAAATCAAACAATAGATATAGAATATTTATTATAAATAGTTTTTTAATTTATCTCGTTGCAATTCTTACAGCAATTTATTAAATATATTTTCATGGCTGACCATAATTTTGTTTTAATGCATTGAGAGGTATGTTTTATAATAAAATATTTTTGATGATGAATATAAGTGAAAAAAGAAATATTTAACTTTGTTTTGAATTTAAGATTATTTTCTTCTAATTAAAATTAATATTTAGATTTGTAAAATGAAAAATTCTTAGAAAACAATTCGTCGTTTTTATCCGAAATTATTCTATTTGCATAAGATATTTTTGTAAACTTGTCTATCACAGTTCTTCGTTAGGGAACCAAAAATGACAGTTTTTTATAATCAAGTTCTTTGGTTACAACAACAATAATCTATCCTATACATCTTAAAACTTATTTCAAATCATAATAAATAAGCAACTATCAGCTAATCGAACAACTCAAATGAATGCGACATTATCTCAATGAAGATTTGAATTAGCTACATACATAGATAATACAGTCTTCATTCATTTAACGAGATGTCCCGTTCTTCTCCGCTTTCGTGACCGAAAATATTTCTTTTTTTATGACCATTGTATAGTCTGATGTAGTATCTGTCTATTGAATACATTTTAGAATTCACAAATTATCATTAAACGCGAAGAAATCAAATTTACGTAACAGAAATGACAAAAGCTGTAGTCTCAAAATAAATTCTTGAACAGAAAAAATAAAGTGCGTATTTTGATTCTCCTGAGCTCTAGGAATGATATTTTTAAAAGGAAAAAAAACACGTATCCCAATTTGATTCTGGTTATCAAAAAGAAAAATTGTAGCTCCAAAAAAAATGAAATATAGAGCTTTGCAAGGAGAACTTCTGGTCCCTTTACGACTTAATATGTCTCATTGAAGAAGTCATCTAAGAATGTTGAGTCTACGATAACTTTTTGCTCGACTATTTGAGATCTATCTGCTTTAAAAGTTTCATAATTTTTTGGTAGAGACGTGTCTGAGAAATGTCAAAAAGGAAGGATGGTGGATCCTCTTAAGATATATTAATTAATAGTGATTGCTTTATTTTTTAGTAGTTAAAACCACTATCGTCAACTTTTTTGTTATTACTATTCTCATTAAATCAACAACAATTGATCAATAACTATATGTTTCATTATCATTTATTCATTAGTAAATATTTCTTTTTGAATCACCATTTCAATATTATTTATAAATCATTTTTATTTATTAATTTTCAATTCTTTTTTTTATAAATTGATCTAGTCGAAAAGAATAGATTGTTAAAAAAAATCAAAAATAATTCATTATCATTTCTGATTACTTCGTATAGTTAAATATTTCATACATGAAATGTTTATTAATCTGGCATAGACCTAATGAAATATTAAATACATTAATATTATTTATTTTTCTGGAATAATCATCAGACGTTTTGAACAAATCAAAACATGTGTTCGATATAGAATTTAAGCGATTTATGCGAGATTTTCATAGTTTCATTCCATATTTCATTGAAGTTTTATTTCACATAAATTTTTCTCTAATAGATATGCAAAATGATCACTTATAAATGCAATACACAAATCTTTCCTTTTTGAAAATATCTGTAAAAAACATCGTATCAAAAAAATTTAGTTTGAAATCTTTTTTGGTCTGGTTATTGATTTCCATTTTCAACTGAACTAGACCTTTTACAGATGTCTTACAGAAATTATTCTCTACATGTTCCTATAAAAACGTTGAGTTCCGTCAGTTTACCTAACCTGGATGCCCATTGAAATGAATTGTTCCTTCTATTGCACTTGCTTGGAAAAATGTTCTCCAGAAGTTGGCAGACTTGGTAGCTAGAATGCGAAGGAGCTCCATTTTTGTGAAATAATATGGAGTTCATTTAGCATAATCTTCTTGCTAATTCCAATAGTTGCATGAGGCAATGACGTCTGTTAAAGATCTCGTTAAACTGAAAATGAAAATGCACAAGAAAATCGAAGATATTTCAACCTAAATTTTATATGATGTTTTTACAGATATTTTCAAAGAGGACAAGTTTAATATGTTGCATTTATAAATGATCATTTTGTACATCTATTAGATACAAATTTATGTTAAATAAAACTTCAATAAATATGGAATAAAACTAGAAAAATCTCATGTAAATCGCTTGAATAGTTAAGGAAATATTCACATTTCTTTTTCGCCCGAACTTTTGGAACATCTGTAGAATAATCTTTCCAAAGATACAACAGAATATATGATCGGCTTACATTATGAAAGTTGTAGTTCAATACGACTTCAATATATTACTGAAAGTCGTTCATAACAAAGGAAAATAAAGACATTTTTGTTATCGATACCTTTAAAGTTATATGATATTTTGGGTTAAGTTTCTTTCTTCATGTGCATAGAATCATTTTTTAACATGCATGTTATATGAAATTAATAAACTGACGACAAATACTCCAAATTGTTTATGATATATGTTTGAAAATTATTTATTGTTATTTGTGATTACTTTGGCAAAACAGAATCAGTAATGTTTCTTATCAACTAATCAATATTTCTATTGTTTTTCTTCTTCTCAAATAAAAACACATCTTTATTTAGTTTTCATTTATAATGTGTTAAAATATATTGTGATAATTGTAACATTAGTTTTTGAAATCTATAAGGATTAGTCATGCTTAATTAGTCTGGATGTTTCGCATATTGAAAAGAATATTTTCATCTAGATAATCGAAATCTGATCTATTGCCATTTTTATGTTGAACGTTCTTTTTCTATTAGTATGAGACCATTTTTTTTTGTTTTTCTCGATCCATACTTTTGAATCAATATTTGTTCTATTGGAAAATATTTAGATGTAAAAATGAAAATGTTCATATATTTTTCTATTTTAAATCATCATATGAAATGAATAATATTCACAAAATATTTTTTATAACTGAATATTGTTGTTTAAAAAGTTTTTTTAGTTTGTGATTATCTTTTTAAATCAATATTTATATAAAAATATTAAACACTTGTTTTTAGTTTATTCGATGAATTAATAAAAATCTACTATTTTGTTAAATACGATTAACGAACAGATAAGAGAAAAACATTACTAACTTGACAATGTAAAATATTAGTAATAACATATTATAATTATTCATATATTCTTTGCATGAGAAACATATTTACTCATTGAAGAAAAAAAAAACCAAAACACAGTTGAGTATTATTTGAGAGAAAAACATCTCATAGAACAATAAAGGTTAATCACCAAAAATACTTTCAAAATAACGTCATTGCATGTATGCATGTATGTAAGCATGCACATCAAATCAACAGAAACTAAGCTAGAAGAAACTTGTAGGCGTGCCTTTTTTTACACGTCTCCATCGGCTTGGTATATACTTTTTTTTGTTACGGTTGAGAAATTTTTCTTCTTTATTTCCACATTTTTCGTATAATCATAATAAGAAAAAAATCTTATATAAATATATCTAATACATTCAGTTTTTATTCATTGAAAAGAAAAGAGAAATATTTCTTGGTATTTTACGCATTTCGTAATACATTAAATATGTATATGCAAGGCAGTGGTATGGGACGCGGTGGTATGCAAAGCGGTAATATGGGATACGGTGGTATGCAGGGCGGTAATATGGGATACGGTAGTATGCAAAGCGGTAATATGAGATACGGTGGTATGCAAGGTGGTAATATGGGATACGGTGGTATGCAAAGCGGTAATACGGGATACGGTGGTATGCAAGGCGGTAATATGGGATACGGTGGTATGCAAGGTGGTAGTATGGGACGCGGCGGTATACCAGGTGGTAATCCTGCTATCATTCGAGAATTGGAATCTGATTTGTGGATTGAACGAAATATTCCTGGTGGATTAAACAGTAAGCATTGTAAATTGTTATCACTAATATTATTAGGATATGATTTATTTTTCACTTTTATTATATATTTATATATATGTATCGTGAATACCAAAACTATTCAACAAGGCTTATTTTCAATTTTTTCTGCTGTCTTAGTCGCAAATAAGAATTAAAATAGTAATTTGAATAGAGAAATATATACATGACAAGAATATACGAAAATAATATGATTACCAGATCTCAAAAGTCAGGATTTTCACAAAGCTGAATCACCACTTTTTCAGAACATAGAATTCACAAATATAATTTTGTGTAGGTTTCACGAAACGATAGAGCAAACAATTCCCTTTCAAAATGAGACATCTCCGAGATTTCTACGACCATTTTTTTGATGACATTCAACAATCTTACAAAAGTCTATGAAGATTTTTTTCTACTATTTTCTATGAAGATGTCAATTTGAGACTTTGAATCTAACTATGGTATGTCAGCGAAAAAGAGTCGTACAGGGCTTGAAAATGTTCTATTCTGTGGAAAATTGTTTGCTCTGTGATTTTGTTTACTTTGAACAAAATTCAATATGTGTCTTGTAAGTGCTGAAAAGTGACCGTTTGGGTTTTTTGGATATCTCGACTTTGGGAATCTGGTCATCATTTTATTTTCTTATATTCTTATACTATATGTTTTTCTATGTTCGAATCACTACTTGGATTGTTTTTTTATAATATTAATAGGAGAAATAATTCAGAAAAAAACTTTGTTGAATAATTTTAGTAGTCACTGCATACATTAACAGTTTTCATTGGTTCATTTATAATTGTTGAAGTCTTATATTGATAAAGATTTTGCTAATATCTCTAATAAAACTTGATTTTTTTATCATAAATCTGAATAGTAATTTATTTTTTACTCGAATCAATAATGAAAAATATGCAAACAATATCAATTAAAAAAAAACTGAATACTCCTTAATTATTTCTTTTAATCTATGTAGGTCCCATGGGTGAATATCTTGATAATATGATTGGTGGAAATCCAAATCCAACATGGGGTCAAGTTACTGGAGGTTATCCTGGAGTTGGAGGTACTTTTGGAGTTGGAGGCTTTGAAGGAGTTGGAAGTTATGGCGGTTATGGTTCTGGTTATGGTTATTCATACGGAGGATACTAATAGAAGTGTATAAATTCGAACTATTTTTTTCTAAATAAAAAATATGTTAAGCAACCAATTAATCATTGATTTGTTGTGATCACAATAAAGACATTCTTTCTCTTTATCGAAATAAATGTTTGTTTAAATGAAACATGATTTCAAAGAAAAAAGATTTCGATTATTAAAATAGAATCTGAATAAGAATACATTGTTTAAAAGATTATTCTTGCAACAGATAACAAACTTATTAAATTATTTATAATGATGTAAAATAAAGCATGACATGAAAATCTAGAAAAAGATATCTCTCAACTAATAAAACATACCTTTAATTGCAATATGCTGTAGAATTACTTGTTTATGCTTGAGACTATTCTTGGAATTAATTGATCAAAAGTAAATACATTTTAAGAAAGAAATATGTACTAAATTAGCTAAGAAATTTTTTTTTTAATTTCTATACAAGAAATAAAGCTCATTTTCATATAAATATTTTTGTAATTAATATGTACCTGAATCATTGTTGATGTGTGGTCGAAACTTGAGGAACGGACGCATCCCGACATAGCTCAAATTAAATATTTCTCGGTTCTAGATGCAATAGTAAACTGAATTGTATCTGTATACCTGTCAAACGAAATTTAAAAATCAAATCTTGATCCATCGAAGATTCGAAATAAATCGACATTGACATCATGTTACGATAATTTTTAGTCTATCCTCACGGATGCATTAAATAATTAGCCTAAGTAACGATTAGTCATACTTTAACAGGTAAACTAATGATCGAAAGTCATACATATATATCACTACAAACTAATTCTGACGCAAAATTTTTTCTCGTTTCAAACTAAGATATAATTGAATTTTAAGCTTGTAAGTTGAATTTATTTTTAGTACACAATCAATTTGTTCTGTCTACATAAAATATTTAACACTTCATGTAACTTTTCATTTTCTTTCATATTTTTGTTTTCGAATATCATGATCCTAATATGCTAGATGATATTACGTAAGATTTTAATAAATGAAATATTAATTATACAATGTAGATAAATTATGCTGAACAATTAGTAATTATATTATTCAAATAGTATATTATTATTCGACAATTTGCGTAAAAGTCATTGATAAATTAAAAAATCCTTGTAAGCACTATTACCTAACATGTATACAAATTTTACAGAAGATCATATTTTGTTTTTTTTCTTTCTTGCGCTTAATTAGCTTCTCACCACTTTTGGGCGCGTTATACACAACAAATCTCCATCTAGAAAACGTTTTCCAGAACTCTTTAGATAAGAAAACAATTTTTAAACGTTTCTCCTCAATTTTCTACATATTTTTGATTATTTCTGTATTAAGATATTTTTTGTATCCAAATGTTTTTGAAATAAAAAGATATTTGAGTCGCATCTCAATGCAGTTAGAATCAGAGATAGGCATAGGACAGGACAGAAAACGTTGTTCTGTGCCCACTTCTATTTTGTATCTATTCTTCTTTGAATGTTTTTTGTCATCGAGTACTTTTTTCATTGTTCTATTATTTGCTATTAATAGCATCCACTGTATGTTAAGATAAGGATTCTAAAATCTTTGCTAGTTCATTTTTTTTAATTTTCTTTCTTTTATGAACGTGTCATTAACTCTGTCAGGCCACCTACCAGAAGGTAGGTGGCAAAAAAACCTTGTTGCGTATTTGTTATTCTTCTATCATAAGGATAGAAAAACTGTATTTATTGAAGGAAAAAAAGTGCTTTGGCACTTAATGGCATTATGTTGCCCTTTGCCAACATTCGGTTATTATTGGTCAAAATTTTTCAAACTTTAGTTTTTCTTTTCAGCTATTAAAGAGAAATATTTCGTGATTTTTTTTATTTATTCATATAGACAATTGAAAAAAAAAACTAGATACAAATATATAGAGGGTTTCACAAGGTTTAAGCATGCTAGTCTTTTAGCCCTCACCAAGTCGCACAGATATTTATATTTGTTTTTTATTCGATTCATGGGCTCACTCTAGCAGAATAGACACAAAAGTCAATTTTATTGAAAACTACCCTCGATAATCTGGCTGTTTTATTCTTCATGAGTGTTCTTTCGAAATTTCGATTTAAGCATTGAATAGAAGAGTGTAAATGTAGGTAAACACAAGAGTCATACTAACACCTAGCATGGATAAATTTTACAGACAGTTCAATTTTATTATAAAGTACTATTTTTCTTAAATTTGCCAATCCCTCCAATGAATAAGTTCCAGAGATCTACGTAGTTCTGAAAATTATCGTACATAGACAAGGTATTAGTTTCTATCTAACAGTTAAATCGAAATTTCGAAAGAATGTTCAAAAAGAATAAAACAGACATATTTCAGGACTAGTTTTTGATAGAATAGACTTCTGATCCTGCTCTGCTGCAGTTTAGCGATGAATCGAATGGGAATCAAATATCAAATTCTGCACAACTTGTCGAGGGCTCAAAGACTAGCATACTTAAATCTTGTCATAAAAAAAGATCGATGTAAAAAAGTAGAAGCTGCGTAGAAGTTTTATACCTGGATCTAAGTGTAGAGGATATCTTCTCAGTGGTAGATATATTCCCATGAAAATATGATGTACTACATTGCTTTGACCATTGCGGACGAAAGCGGCAATATCTGCCTAAAAAGAGTTAAAATAATAAATCAAGATGTTTTTACGTTTTCTTTTTAGTATTTATAATATTAGTCAATATTGAAAATTTTAGTTGTTGCGTTTTGAAAATGATACGAAACAAGTTATCTGTAAGATAACTGATAAAACTAATATGTAATTTGATGATCAAAAGTCAAAATACAGTTTATTACTGTTCTGCTTACTGACCTGTTCTGTCCGATGACCATCTCTGATCAGGATAAACATGATTGTCGATGAGAAATGAATATTTCAACGAATGCCTCATAATAAACTTAATTGTTCATTGTTCAACAAGTATTTATAAATCATCAATAATGTATTTGTATAACAAGTTTTTAAGAAAACCTAGAGTCAACTATCATTTTGTCTGGTTTTTAATGTATTACATTTCACTTATAATATTTGACACAGTCGATCCTGTTATGTCAATATGTCGTCTATGTTTAAAAAGAGATCTGGATAACAAGATACACTTACAACAAGTGATTCTGTACTTCTATTCTATAGCAGAATCTCCATGAGGATTTCTTTGAAATAAATAAAAAAGAAAGAAAAAATAAATAAATGGAAGACTCATTAGTATCGTCCTTTCAGCAATTTGAATGTAAAACTAACTTGTACTGTCGTTTGCAGTATCACAAAAGAATAGTTTTACAGATAAACAAATCCTTCTGTGTATTTTATAACTAGAAAAATTCTTTCTATTCTATTCTAAATAATCAATCCTTAAAAACCATAGAAAAAACATTTCTGAAGAACAGGTGGCATTCAATTAGAGAGAGAAAAAGAGATACATCTTAAGCCTTACTTTTAGCGGAGCAGAGAATCAAAAACAAAATAATTCACAATTAATTCATCTCGATTTTTCTTCATGTATAAGAGTATTTTTAAAGGGAAGAAGACTACATTTTTACTATTAAGAGAGGTTTTTTAAAGATAAAAACATTAAATCAATGTTCATCAAGAAAGAAAAATGCGTTGACATTCAAAATATATATTTCATTATCTTTGCATCTCTGCAAGTATTTTCAGTTCAGGAATACAGATGACACAAGAAATGGTATTTGTCAACGAAAAATGTTTCTTCACTCTCTTTTTGCATTAGCGTAACTTTCAATAGAATTTTTCGATTGCTACCAGACACGTATACTCTATGTTCCTGTTTATTTTCGTTATTTCTCCTTCGTTATTGTATACCAAATTAATTAGTTCTTCTATGGAACTCAGGTCCAGATCGTTAAAATCTCGTTTGATTTCGATGAACTTGCCCAGTGTGTTATGACTGATGACGAATTTCGTTTTGCGATGTGATTTATTCTTTTAAAAATGGCGAACTAATAATATGATATAGTTGTTTGTTATACCACGAGCCAGTGATTCATCCTTATTAAGATTGATAATGATGAATTTCAGGGGCAATAAGCCTCGTCAGATTAGTTCTACTAATAGTAATCACGAGCAAACTTTCATCAGTAAAACTGATGCAGCAACAGCTTATCAGCAGCAATCAAGTCGAAATATTAAAAAAAAAAAAAGAAGATGATGACTTACTTGAACTCGGACACAGAAAAGTCAATGCATCCAACCAATGCTTTAACAACAGCGCTTTTTATCAAAGCTCAAACGAAAATCCACTTCGTCCATCAAGTCATACTATGAATACAATAGCTTCACGCCAATCTTTTCCATCGTTTCGACTAACATTGACTGATGATAAAATACCATCTGACTTATTAATTATAAAACACCAACAGACAATGCCCCATTAGTCTTTCTTATGATCGTTGTTCTTCATCTGGTACTAAAAAAGGTTTTCTTCTATATGCAAGTTTAGCTGCACAATTTGATCGTCTAACGAATAAAAAGATTTGACTGGCACAAATATGCTCTCTCAATTTTACTATCGCTTTCCCTTCTAAAGTTTCATCTTCTTATTTTATCGTCTCAAAGGTATTCCTACAAAATGAAACCTAAACGAATTCGAAAAAGATATAAAGAAACAATAGTTGACTACGATCAAAATTGAACGACTTTATTCTAAAGGCGAAATATCTATTTCAAAGGTACGAATCGATTTTTCATTGAATTCAGAAGTTAAAGTCATTACAAATAAACGTATATTAGTAGATAGTGAAAATACATCGTTTTCTATTAGAGGTGTGGGTGTGAATGTTACTCTTCTTGTCACTTATATCACACACTCAACTATGTTAAGTTGCAGCGGGGAGTGTTGACTACATTTTGACGTCAAATCGAGTTCTCCACTATTAGATTTGGAGGAGAAATCTGGGTGGCACAGAGACCTGCTTATTTTTACTCTTAATGTATAAGGATAGCGTTCAAAGAGCTCAATATATTGGGCTGAAATTTTCACTATGAGCTTTCTAGATTCGGGCACATATATTTTGATAATTTCAGCAAGATCGGTTGCTCTAGGACGAAAATAGTATTTTTACAGAATGAGAAAGGCTTAAACAATAAATGTGTGTGTTTCTCAGAAGAGAAAACACATAGATTCATATTCACGCCATTGGCGAGGATAGGAAAGCTTGATTGTTTTGAAGTGTTTATGCAGCATCTACTCAAATAGCATTAAGAATTCTAACAAAGATTATTATTTATTTTAAAAAAATATTCTTTCGCTGAATATGGGCTTTCAAATTGAAACTGTTTAGAGAAGTTTTTCTGCTGGAAAATAATTGCATGGTTGAGATTAGTGATGAATTTATGCAGTAGTATAATGATTTTGAGCATGTCGGTCTGTTGGGCCGAAAACCAGGGTAGAACATATTCACTTATAAATCATCAGTTTTTTAATCCTTTGTTTTGAGCCATTGCGTAGTACACGTAAAATGCGACTGTACTTTTTTGATTCCCTGCTGCAGAAATGTTGTATTTTTGTTCTGATGCAACGTCTGTTTGCACAAAAAGAACAGCAACAAAATAGGCAGCTGTCACATAAATGATTGTACAAGCTTTTTCTCATTTTATTGTTTTTTTTCGCTTGGTTATGAAAGAATGTGATGAGTAATACCCACACCTGCACCAGGCACGCACTCGTTCCCGAAAATCCTCGTTTGGTTAACCTTGATAGATTTTTTCTTTCTCTCGATGCAAAGATAAACGTGCAGATAAAAGCGCTTCGTTAGGTGCATCACACCGAAAGCTGGTGTAGTGATAACAGATGTATTGTTATCACTCAACTTTATATTAGCAAGTCTTTCATATTCGTTTTCTCGAGCAAGTGAATATTAGAACTGTATCAGAGTCCTCCACAACACAATTTACAAAAAAAAGATCAATTTTTGACGTCGAACTCGAAAAGAAGAAATTCCTACTCATTGCCATTTATGAAACTGTTCACCAATCCAACTTGCAGTAGCCTTAAAGCCAATATTTCCACATATCGATCAGTTAGGTCATACTAGCAAAGCAACTAAAAGGCCGTGGAGATGATCAATGCAAATTCGCTCTTTTCCCGCGACCATGGGCAATGTACATTGTGGTTGTTATAACTTTCCTTCCAAATATGGCAGGAGCATTGATGATCATTGCAGTCGGCTCTACAAAGACTGATCTTCGTCACACACGCAAGTGTAACTTCGTACTAGCAAGTGAATTCTCCTGTTCTTTCTCATCTTCGCTGGTCCTGTTGCAAAATGATCATATGTTCAGGTTTAGGGGTGTCAGTTTCGGGTTCCGTTCGGAGGTATGGGAGTCCGGGATGGGTTCCCGTACCTAGGAACGGGGAACGCGAAACTTAATCCGCGTTCCAGTACCTGAGAACGCGGAACCCGGGGCGGATTCCCGTACCTGAGAACGCGGAACCCAGGGCGGGTTCCCGTACCTGGGAACGCGGAACCGTGCCGGGTTCCCATACCTCGGCAGGCGGAACCAGGCCGGGCTCTCTTTCCTAGGAACCCAGGACTCCATCATGACTTTATACAGATGAAAAAGATAAGCGTGTTGCCATATCTCCACATTCTCGAAAATGTGTGGAAACCAATTGTCAAGCGATTTGCCGAACCAGAGATCGTGGAAATCAGACGGGCTATCCTATTTGGAACCAGAAGTTCCTGCGACTTGTCGCTACTAGTAACTAAATCTGCATCACATACACTGTAAAAAAAACAGAGTATAATACTAAACGAATACTCTCTTGTTAACTCGTCATAAACCCTTAAAATGTTTATGATGATCTGCTATACCCTAAAAGGGTTTAAGAGTCAAAGGGTTTATGAAATGTAAGGGTATATGAAACTGAAAATGGTTGATTACTATGAAATTGTAGGCAATGGGTTTAATATTCTACGCGCTAAGAGTAGATTATTCTACTTTTTCATCAGACACATTCATTGTTTTACGTGTAAGGGTACATTATCTATGAATTTAAGGCAAAGGGTTTATGGCTTTTGCATGAGGATGCAATTTTCGATTTTCAGCGAGAATTGCACATTGTTACGCATAACGAAGCTCTATTCAGACGTGGTTTTGTTAATACTGTTTCAAAAAGATAATTTTTTCCTTATATGTTGCACTGACACTTACTGTTCGTTCTAATCAATTTATCAGGAGTAGACAAACATTCGTAAAAGCTATTCTAAGATTTGGTAGTTATGATGAATTCGATCTTTTTTGAGCTTTTTTACAATCTTGAGTGTTCATTGGAAGAAATGATATGAGTGTATTGATCGTTTTCCTTAACCATTTACTGGCTATGGAGCAATTTTCATAAACCCTTTTTATAGTTTATATAAGGTTTTATGATTTTGCGCTTCTTTTTACAGTGTATCTCGTGAGAGTTCTTGCTGAAAGGCCCAATGAAATACACCTGATCAACTGAAAACTCCCGGCCCTCTTAAGATAATACCCAGATACTTCTTTTTATTGCTTTGTTTGATTCAGATTTCCATGGAAGATGTGAAGTTCACGCAACAATTGCCAGTATCACTCTGAAAATATTTGTTATTAAATCGAACAGAGGCGTTTTTAGAGTCTAATTTCAGACATTGTAAGATGTTTCAGATTTTTTTTCTTGAAAATTGCTTTTAAAGTCTCCGAGAATTCATAAAACAACAGTNTAGTATTTTACGCATTTCGTAATACATTAAATATGTATATGCAAGGCAGTGGTATGGGACGCAGTGGAATGCAAGGTGGTAATATGGGATACGGCGGTATGCAAGGCGGTAATATGAGGCGCGGCGGTATGTCAGGCGGCAATCATGCTATCATTCGAGAATTGGAATCTGATTTGTGGATTGAACGAAATATTCCTGGTGGATTAAACAGTAAGTATCATAAATTGTTATCACTAATATTAGTAGGATATGATTTATTTTTCACTTTTATTACATATATTTATATATATGTATCGTGGCTGCTAAAACTATTTAACAAGGATTATTTTCAACTTTTTATATGATAACCAAATCCCAAAAGACAGGATTTCCACAAAGCCGAATCATTACTTTTTCAGAACATAGAATACACAAATATAATTTTGTGTAGATTGCAATAAACAATAAAGTAAACAATTTCGTTTCAAAGTGAGACATCTGCGAGGTTTCTACGACCATCTTTTACTAACATTCAACAATCTTACAAAAGTCTATGAAGAAGTCAATTTAAGACTTTCAATCATATGAGTGTATGTCAGTAAAAACTGAATCGTACAGAGCTTGAAAATGTTTTATTTTGTGGAAAATTGTTTGTTCTGTGATTTTGCTTACTCTGAACAAAATTCAGCTTGTGTCTTTTAAGTGCTGAAAAGTGGTCGTTTGATTTTGTTTTTGGAAAACTCAACTTCGAGAGTCTGGTTATCGTTTTATTTTCTTATATTCGTATAATATATGTTTTTCTCTATGCGAATCACTATTTGGATTCTTTTTTTGTAATCTCGATAGCAAAAGTAATTCAGAATAAATTTTGTTGAATAATTTTGGTAGGCACTTCATATATCAACAGTTTTTATTGATTCGCTTATAATATACGTAAACAATATCAATTAAAAAACCTAAATATTCCTTAATTATTTCTTTTAATCTAGGTGCAAGAGGTGAATATCTTGATAATATGTATGGTGGAAATCCAAATCCAACATGGGGTCAAGTTGCTGGAGGTTATCCTGGAGTTGGAGGTAATTTTGGAATTGGAGGTTTTGAAGGAATGGGAAATTATGGCGGTTATGGTGCTGGATATGGTTATTCATACGGAGGATACTAATAGATGTGCATATATTTAAACTATTGTTTTTGTTCTAAACATAAAATATGTTAAGCAACCAAATAATCATGGATTTGTTGTGATCACAACAACGGCACTCTATCGAAATAAATGTATTTTTCTTAAATAAAACTTTTGATTTCAAAGAAAAAGCTTTCGTTTATCAAAATAGAATTTGAATAAAAATACATTTTTTAAGAGATTATTCTTGCAACAGATAAAGACTGATTAAATTATTTATAACAATGTAAAGCAAAGCATAACACAACTCAAGACTATTCTTGGAATTAATTGATCAAAAGTAAATAAATTGTAAGAATGAAATATCTACTAAATCAACGAAGAAAACTTTTTTTAATAATTTCTATATAAGAAATTAAGATAATTTTCATAGAAATATTTTTGTAGTTAAAGTTCAAATGAAACGTTTCTCAGTTCTAGGTGCAACTTCAAACTGAATCGTATTTGCATAGTATGTCGACAAATTATGGTGAACAATTATTATTTATATTATTTTAATAGTATATTATTATTCAACATTTTATATAAAAGTCATTGGTAAACTAAAAAATCCTTGTAGACAATATTACCTAACATTTATACAAATTTTTATAGAAGATCATATTTTACCCTAGTTGCATATTTGTGATTCTTCTATCATAACGATAGAAAAACTGTATTTATTGAAGTTACGTTGCCATTTACCAGCTTTCGATCATTATGGGTCATAATTTTTCAAAATTCAGTTTTTCTTTTTCAGCTATTAAAGTGTAATATTTCGTGTTCTTTTTTTAATTTATATATATAGACAATTCAAAAAAAAATGATACAAATATGTAAAGGATTTGACAAGGTTTAAGTATGCTGCTCTTTTAGCCCTCGCCAAATCGTACAGATATTGATATTTGGTTTGTATTCAATTCATGGGCTGACTCTAGCAGAACACGCTCAAAAGTCAATTTGATCAAACACTACTCTTAATAATCTGACTGTTTTATTCTTCATGAGTGTTCTTTCGAAATTTGGATAAATTTACAGGCAGTTCAATTTTATTATAAAATACCATTTTTTCCAAATTTCAAATGCCACCAATGAAAGAGTTCTAGAAATCTACGTAGTTTTCAAAACTATCTTACATAGACAATGTTTTATGCTCTATCTGACAGTTAAATCGAAATTTCTAAAGAACATTCACAAAGAATAAAACAGATAGATGTTAGAACTAGTTTTTCATAAAATAGACTTTTGATCCTGCTCTGCTACAGTTAAGCCATAAATCGAATGAAAATCAAATATCAATTTCTGCACAACTTGTCAACGGCTACAAGAGGAAGCCCCATACTCCGATCCAAGTATAGAGGGTATCTTCCCATTAACGGGAACAGGAATATTTTTTCCCAGTGATGGATATATCCTCATGAAAATATGATATAATACATTGCGTTGACCATTGCAGACAAAAGCAGTAATATCTGGCTAAAACGGGTTAAAATAATAAATCAAGATGTTTCTATGTTTTTCTGTATTTATAGTATTAGCCAATATTAAAAATGATACGGGATCGACAATCAAAATAAGGTTTATTACTGTCCTGCTTACTGACCTGTTCTCTCCAGTGATCAACTCTGATTAAGATATTTTTCATTTAGTAGTAGTTGCGGGAGCAGGAAGATGATTTATAGCAAAAAAAGTGATCAAATACGTCTTTGATGATACTAGTATAATTTTTTATTGATAATAAATGGAAAGTCCTGAGCATGATTGCTGATGAGAAATGAAGACTTCGATGAATCTCTCACAATAAACATAATTGTTCATTGTTCAACAAATATTTATTCATCATCAATAATGTATTTGTATAACAAGTTTCTAAGGCAACCTAGATTCAATTATTATATTATCTAGTCTTTAATGCATTACATTTCACTTATAATATTTGACATGGTCGATCCTGCTATATCAATATGACGTCTATGTTCAAATAAAGATCTGGAAAACAAGATACACTGGCAACGAGTGATTCTATATTTCAATTCAATAGCAGAATCTCTATGATGATTTATTTGAAATAAATAAAAAAGACAGAAAAAAATGAATGGAAAACTCATCAGTGTCGTCCTTTTCGCAATTTAAATGTGAAATTAACTTGCACTTTCGTTTGCAGTATCATGAAAGAATAGTTTTACAATGTTCACCAAGAAAGAAAAATGTGTTAACATTCAAGATGTTTATTTCATTATCTTTACACCTCTGCAAGTATTTATAGTTTAGGAATACAGATGACACAAGGAATGGTATTTGTCATCGAAGGTTGTGGGTCTGGGTTTGGATATTCTTTTCAGCGATACCCGCACCCATCTTGTGGCATATTTTGTTTTCTAATACAACGTATTAAGTGATTCAAAATTGAAATGCAAAGTACAGCAATTTATTATGCTTTATCTATTATTATTTTTACACCCTCAAGACTGTTTCTATTCTATTGATAAACACTTTGTGGAACTCACATATATTTTTGAAGAAAATAGTAAGTGTTGTGAGCTGATCGAGGTAAATAATAATGCGTTAAGGTCATCTGCTGTAGATTTAATTGGGCAACAAATATACACTACGAGAGATCTTTCATTTTATGTATTTTGTGTTAGTTTGGTTCTGAAGAGACTGTGTTAACAAGCCTTTTTTATGTCACTTGGATTAATATGAGAATAGAAAAAACGACTCGAACATAGTGTATTATTGTTCTGAAGCGGAAATAAAGATGTAAAAAAGTGAGAATTGATCAGACTGATGGCTTATCACGTGGTATGATACCAGAAAAGTTTGCACTTGCCAATGGACAGCCATCGCCAGTGATTCCACCAGTTCCCCACCATATCGGAAAGTTAATATTATTGTTTGTCAGAACGAAAAAGATAAAAAGTGTACATACGACCACACCACAGCTCATTGCTGCCGAAAATATAAACGCGTACCTTTTCCACCATGCAGGGGCATAACGAAAAACTACAAAATTGAATAGGAAACCAATAATGAACCATGACGGATATTCACCAGGTGGCGCTGGTATTATCGCACTAGTGGCAGTAAAAATGATCGGAAAATGCACGTATTGAAGCCATGTAACTTCTGGATACTTTAGACGTAGGAACCAAACGGGTACTGGTGAGATTGCACCAATCAGAAAGCCAAACAGAAGTGGCCAATATATCGATTTGGGACCAAACACTTTTACTGGGCCTAGGAGAAAAAGTGAGAAATCAATGAAATCTCAATAAAGATTACAGAATGAATGAATCCCTTTTGAAACATTAATAACCAGTCTATACAAGGATCTGCCAGTTACTCGTTTGGTCTGGTTGAATCTTAAAAACTCGCTAGTTTTTTTTATCCACTTTTTAAAGCACTGGAGCTTGTTTCTTTTGCTCATTTTTAATGATTTCCACGGTTTTAATGATCAAGAGATAGGAGCCTGGAAGTCTCTAACTAACACACTTTCATCCTAAGATGAGAGCTTCGTATTGTGTTGAATGAATTTATTCTGCTCACGAAAAGTTAACGAGATATTAGAAGTTGATTTCAATTTAAACTAAAGATTTTTCATCTCGAAATTCCGAGTTCAATTTTCTGGACTACCTGTAGCCGGTTCTCATAAAATCCCAATAGCTAATAGATTTTAGTTCATATTTTCATTGCAACATATCAGAAAAGATTCCATTCTGTTGTTAAAATCGTGCCAACTACTGACATCATCATGCAACTTTGAAAATATTTAGATATTAAAAGACCTCATAATAAGAAGTCTAATATAAAAGCTGTACGCTAAATAACTGTTTCAAATTAGAATAGATCAAACTTATCAATTGTAAAGAAATTATATCATGACTGGATAAAGTCAGTTAAAGAATAGTATAGATGCTGTTCAATATTAATTGCTGTGAGTTGCCAAATGAAACGTTTTGAAAGACATCTTCATTCGCTCTTAAACAATTGTACTGTCAGATATTCAAGCTCAAATACAATACGGGGCATAGTTTTTCGAACGATTTATTTTGCGTATAGCAATCAAAATTTCACCCATAAATGTTGAGTCATAGTGAAACTAAATATACACCATTGTGCAGTAAACATTTTCTGTTAGACAGGTTTTTTACAGCCATCTTTCAAATTGATTTATTTTTTCCGCAAATGTTCGAGAAAGATCGAATTCGTATAAATAGAAAGAGCAAAGCACGAGCTACATCCCATTGAAAAATATTTACTGATATTAATCGGATTTTTGTGAAACAAAATCAAAATTAAAATCGATTGATAATTTTGATTATTATTTATCATGACTTAACTATTACGTGATATTGTTACTTATGCAGTGTGAAATTTTCCGATTGAAATCGGGTGATTTGCAGGAAAATCGAAATTAGTAATCGATTTATAATCTTGATTTTGCTGCAAAATAATCCAATTTCAATCAGAAAATTTCACACCCCATAAGTAACAATATCACGTAATAGTTAAGTCATGATAAATAATAATCAAAATTATCAATCGATTTTAATTTTGATTTTGT